AGAGTACAAATATTTTTAAAATTCAAAGTATTATACAATGCATGATCTTTAAATCTTAAATACTACAAGGATTTAAAAGAGAACATAAGAAACCAAACCAAGATAGAGGTTATTAGTCAGTGATAATAAATGATCTCTCTCCCCCAAACAGAGAGAACTGAAGAACAATCATTTAAAAAAAAAAAAAAACTCTCAAGTAAGAAAATGTGGGTAGTTCAAAGTTTTTTTTTTCCTCTTTAAAGGTAAAAAAGAAAGCTAGGTCATTTGTGAGTGTTTGATGTCTGCACAGTTTCAGTTAAACAAACAGCCATATCCTTAAGAACCAGTTCATTTCCAAGAGGACTGTACAGCATAGGAATCTCAGGCAACTTCTCCCAACCTTATAGGAAATAAGAAACTCAAAAGATTTCAAAATAAGACAAAGTCTTTCAGTTTCCTCTCAAGTTAGTAATCTAGCTAATAACAATTCCAAAATCAACAACTATACAAATCTCAACAAAAAATCGGAGGAAGATTTTCTTTGTTCATATGATTTCAACAAGAACCATAAAATTACAGATAATGGAGATTGAAATGAATAAGTGTTATGGATTGAACTGTATCCTACAAAAAAGATATGTTGAGGTGCTAACCCCTACTGCTTCAGAATGTGACCTCATTTGGAAATAGGGTCTTCACAGACATGATCAAGTTAATATGAGGTCTTTATGGAGAGCCTAATCTAATCTGACTAGTGTCCTTATAAAAAGGGGAAATATGGAAACAGAATCAGATACACACCATGTGCATAAGAAGGCAGTGATGAGGTGATGGATGCACAAGCCAGGAGTGCTGAAGCCTGCCAGCACACCAGAGAGTTAGGAGAGAGGCAGGAACTAAGTCTCCCTTACAGAACCAACCGTCAGAAGGAACCAACTCAGCCAAGAAATGTGAGATGATACATTCCTGTTATTTACACCACCCTGTCTGTGGTCCTTTGTTTCGGCAGCCCTACTAAATAAATACAATGAGGTTCATGGCAAAATCCAAACTTGACAACAGTAAATCAACAGGTGTTAGGTAAAATGCTTATGAACCAAACAAAACACAGTGGAAACTGCAAACACCAGGTAGCTTTACTGAAAGCTAGTGATAGCTGCTGTTGGGGAAAATGCTAAAGATAATTCTTAATGATGGAGACAGGGAGGCAGACATTTATGGGAGAGTGGTAAGGAGTACTGGAAAGGAATTCCAACATTTAGTTAGCTTTTTAAATTATGTAGTGCTTCAGGGAATACCCCAAAACCAACTTATCTCGGAAGTTTTCCTAAATGGCAGGTAACTGGGGTTTTTTGGCCTTACCTTGCCACCCTAAAGCAAGCAAGAACAGGCAGCCTGTCATCACTTAAACGAAGGTAAACAGACAATGGCTTTCATCTCCAGCTGAAGGAAATTAAATACTGCATGTGGCCAGTAAGCTTGAAACTGCTTGAGTAATGATGACAAGATGCATTTAGACCTGCTGAAGGAAAAAGTATTAACTGTCCAGAGCCATCCTTCTCAAAGATTGCAAATATTTAAAAGGCAGTGTGTTCCTTTATTCAAGAATAATAAATGGAGAATTTTTCAACTGTCTCCAAAATTTTGGCCTAAATCTTAAAGTTATACATTAGAGAGAGTTAACTAATACTTGGAAATCAGCTAAGCACTAGGAAAGCATTTCAAAGTGATTGGTATGTTTTCTTCTAATGAACTATGTTTACTTCAGTTTGATTCACAATTAAAACAAGTGAGAGCATATGTGAAAATCATCTGAAATATTCAACAAGGACAATGTCTTTCAAAGGAAGGCCTTATACTGTAGAAGCATTATCATGTAATGGTTAGGAAAAGAATGGATTCAAATCAGACAGACAAGAGCCAAAACCAGGTTTGTTACAAAACACTTATGTAGACCTTGACAAGTGACTAAAACTCTGCAGGTCTCAAGATTCCTGACTTAATGGAGGTGATAAAAATAGGATCTAACTTTAAGGAGTTATAAGGAGTAAAGAGACAATGGTATATGGAATTTTATACAAATTGCTTAATCCAGTGCTGTTATTTTCACACTACTGACAGTAAATGTATAAGTAATGTTTATACAATAGAGTGCAATTTTTCTTCAGGAAGGAATAAAAACACTGGTTGTAGGTGTAGGGTAAGGTAAAAAGCATCAGGCTTTTCTGCCCTCCCGCCATCAGGAAAGATGAGGGAACCCTGTGGTCCTGAATGTATGCCTGATGGCAGGCACCTGGAGTAGGGTGTGGGCCTAGGTAGATGGGGTTCACCTGGGCTAAGACTGGGCTTTTAAGGGCAGAGTCACGGGGATGCCAGCAGAAGCAGAACAAACGGGAGAGCAGAGAGCAGCGAGCAGAACCAAGAGAGAAGCAGAGAGAACGCAAGAGAACTCTGGAGAGCCCAGAAAGAGTGAAGACTTCCTGGGAGCTGGGAGGCCTGCCAGACTCCTGGCCCCCCAGCACTCCTGCCTGCTGTGTACCTGGTAAATCCCAATAAAAGCCTCTGAGTGTTCCAGGACTCTCTCCTCCTTTACCAGGTCTGCTGGATCAGAAAACCTACACTGTGCCCTTTCCTGCCCCTACATAAGGTAAGTAAAGTATCAGGCTTTTCTGCCTTCTCACCATTAAGATTGATGATGGATCCCTGTGGTCCTGAATGCCTGCCTGATGGCGGGCACCTGGAGTAGGATGTGGGCATACGTAGGTGGGTTCACCTGGGCTGAGACTGGGCTTATAAGGACGGCATCACAGGGATGCCAGCGGAATAGCAGAGAAGAGCCAAAGGAGCAAAGGTCACAAGAGAACGCCCGAGAGCCCAGAAAGAGTGAAGAATTGTTCGGGGCTGGGAGGCCTGCCAGTCTCCCAGCACCCCTAGCACCCCTGCCTGCCATGTACCTGGTAAATTCCAATAAAAGCCTGAAAAAGGCATGGAGGGCTCTAGGACTCCTCCTTCACCCCATCTGCCCGATCACAGAGATCCTGCTCTGGCCCTTCCTGCCACTACACTGGTCCACAACCTTTTTGAAATTGGCTAAACCATTTAGAACATTACCATGACATTCCATAAAATTCAAGCAATATAGTTAAAACATCCAAAATGCTCTAGATTTTATTTTGTTTTCCTTCCCATCATGTTTATTTTTCATTCAAATAGAAAAAGTACTTTTGTAAATAAGATCTCAAAATTAAAACTACTACTTTTGATTTACAGTATTTCTACATTTCCGTACTTACATATCTTTTTTTAATGCCTTCTATATTTTTTATAATAAATTTTATTTTTATATTCCCCATACAATTGCAACCCCCTTATTTTGACCCCAATCCCTCCCCTCCCGCCACCTACCCCCCATAGAGTGTCTCTGGTTCATAGTTTTTTGTTGATTTTGATTTTAACAGTCCTTCACCTTCTTAACGTAAAAAGCATGAACAAAGGTGCAACACAACACCCCTGAGAAGCCAAAGATTATCTAAATCAGCACACAGCCAAATTTCCAATTATGTGTTTAGAATAATTCTACAGAGGATTTTCTTCTATATCTTTTTTATTTAATTAATTGCTAGGTATAGAATTCCTTGTCTTCCATATGATTTAAGAGAGGAGAAAAAAAAACATGGATGGTTTAGAAATCATTTTTCAAAATTATTTGGCAATGTTATTAAAATAAAAGATGGTTTGTATCTCCTGCTCTTATTTCAGAAATAACATGTCTTCCACAAGCTTACATGCTTCTGAATAGGAAAACTCAGCATCCTTAATAAGGGAGAGAAAGGAGACCTATCAGAAATACATGAAGACCAGCTTCCTAAGAATCTAAATCTGTACCTGACCTCGGATAGCATGGGGGAAAAGGACAAAAGGGGAAAGAGTTGTTGTTGCTGGTTGGTCTTTTTTAATTGAAATATTAATATGATATTTTCAGGTATACAATATAATAATTTGATATCTGTATATACTGCCAAATGATCACCAAAATAAGCCTGACATTCATCATTAAGCATAATTACAAAATTTATTTTTCTTGTAAATTATAGGAGGCTTAAAATTTGCTCTCCTGGCAACTTTCAAATATGTAATACACCATGACCTGTCATCACCATATTGTGTGTTACATCCCCAGGACTTAATTATTTTATAGCTGAATGTTTGTACAGCTCAACCTCCCCACCTTTGGCAATCACCAGTTTTTTTTTATCTGTATCTGAACTTAATTTTTATTTTGTTTTGTTTTTCCAAGTATAAGTGATATTGTACTAAGTGTGTCTTTCTGTTTCTGACTTCATTTAACACAATACCCTCAAGATCCATCTATGTTGTCAGAATCGACAAGATTTCTTTTCATGGCTGAATAATATTCTATTGTGTGTATATACATGTTGTATTATCTTTATCCATTCATCCATTGATAGACACTTAGGTAATTTTCATATCTTGGCTACTATAATTAATGCTGTCACACACCTGGAGTGCAAATATCAAGTCTCTCTATATAGAAATAAATGTCATAGTAGTCAGGTAGAAAGAAAGACTTTGCATTTTATTTTTTTAACTAAGTGACTTCTGAAAAATGGATCAAAAGTTCAGTTTAAAAAGAAGTCAAGAATGATCAAATACATTTGGCTTTGTCAAATCAATACTCTTAATTTTACACAAATGTTAAGCACTTCTGTAGGAAAATAATCACACAATTCACCTGGAAATGAGTTCTGTGATGGTTCCAACTCCAATTAAAAAGAGAGGAAACAAGATTGGGGGAAATGGTAGGGCAGAAAAGACAGGTAGGATAAATATGAAAACTATTTGCTAGCAGAAAAAACAATTCTACTGACCTTTATATTTGTTAGGGAAAAAAAAAAAGTGACTGGGTAAAATCTATTGCACATTAAATTATTTAAATATACTATTACTAAAACAGCAAGTACATTTCTACCTGTGAAATATCCAAAAACAAATTAACTTACTTGCTTTTCCCTTTGTACACTGTAGCATAAGATCCTTCCCCTAGTTTTTCCAGTTTTTCATATGAATCAGCTTTTCCAAATTTGGGACTGGTAGGCTAAAAATGGAGCAGAGGGTAAACAAAACAGATTGTATCAAACTAATTAACAATAAATAACCCAATTTTGCTGAAAATGTACAGATTCTTTGTCACTTTTTAAATAACGTTCCTTCTATTATAAGAAAAATTTTAAACCATCATAATAGGGCACAAAACTCGGAAAATACAAATGAAGACAATGTAGAAGTATAAATTTACCCTAATATAACCACCAAATTAAATATATTGATATTCCTTTTTCTAATGCTATCTGCTTGATGTTAATTGCTTTTATATATAAGTGGTATTATACTGTATATACAATTTTGTAACTTAGTTTTTTAAACCCAATATATTATGAACACTTACCATGTTATTATATAATCTTCTAAATTAGGGACTGGCAAGCTACGAACAATGAGCCAAATCCAAACCTCCCAGTTTTTGTATATCCCATAAGTTTAAAGTTATTTTTACATTTTATTTTAATTAGGGGGTGGTCAATAGAAGAATAAAATTTCACCACATGTGAAAATTAATTTTAGCATCCATAAAGTTTTATTGGAATACAGTCACATTCATTTACATATTGTCTTATGACTTTCAAGTTACAACAGAGCTGTAACTGTGGCAGAGATCACATGCCTGACAAATTGGATAATTTATTATCTGACCCCTCTTGTAAGTCATGACTGCATAATATCAGTCATACTCCTCCAATATCTGTCTGTGACACTACAAACAGATAACCAAAGATGTATCATTCAGATGGCATTAATTAATACAAAGAGACTCTCATATATAAAAAACAATACCTAAAGTTTAGTTGCAAAAAAAAAAGTACAGTGAATAACCTCATCATTCTTGTGCTCAACTTTTACCCCGACATCCACCAGTGAGCAAGAAAAGGGAATGTTGTCCTCTCCATGGGAACAAACGATCTACTATTTGCTATTACTATAGAGAAGCAGTAGTATCAAAGCGTATTAAGGGCCTCCCCGGTGGCGCAGCGGTTGAGCGCTGGGTTGCGAAGCTGCCCGCGGCCTCTGCGGCACCGGTTCGATCCCCGGCTGCTCCCCGGCCACCAGAGGAGGGTCCCACATGGCGCGCAGACCTCTCCTGCCGCCCGCTGCTCCCCTCAGCAGTGTACTTCTGTCCTTCTGCCTGCTCTGCTCCCTGCTCTGGCTCTGGTGAATTCTCTCACCCTCCTGCACTTCTGACTGTACCCAGTGCTTGTACAAACAAAAACAAACAAATAAATTAATAAATAAATAAAGCATGCCTCTATTAAAAAAAAAAACAAAAAAAACAAAAAAAGCGTATTAAAAAATGATATGTAAGGAATTAAATACATAAAAGGTTTATCTGATAACAGTTGCAAGTACAAATATAACTATAATAAATAAATCATTAATATGAAGTTGCTAATAATTATGGTACTCCCTAAGTAACTAATTTCAGAAGCTTAGTGAAAAATTTCTTGCAGAAATTTATAGTACACTATTCTTTTTTTTTTCCCCCAAGATTTTATTTATTTTTGCATAGAACTGAGATGTAGGCCAGAGGTGTGGGGGTAAGGGGATGAGAGGATTCTCCAAAGACAGAGTAAGGAGAAGAACAGGTGGACTGACTGAAATACACTGATGAAAGGAGCAGTGGGTGAAACAGGAGAGGGCTGCTGTGCCTTACGTAGGTTAGTTCCCTGGCCAGGGACCGAACTCAGGTCATCATGGTGATAGTGCTGAGACTTAACCTCTAGGCCACCAGGAAGCCCCTACACTATTCTTTTTTTTTTCCTTTAAAGATTTATTTATTTATACAAGAACCGGGGTACAGGACAGATGCGTGGGAGGGTGAGAGGATTCACCAGAGACAGCGTGGGGAACAGAACAGGCAGACTGACGAAATACACTGCTGAAGGGAGCAGTGGGCGAGACAGAAGAGGTCTGCCTTGCCATGTGGGATTCTCGCTGGCCGGCCAGAATCGAACCCACGCTGCAGAGGCTGCGGACAGCTTCACAGTGTAGCGCTCAACCGCCTGTGCCACCAGAGAGGCCCTACACTATTCTTGAGCATGTGCTCTTCTGCACTTATAAAAAAATCACAGCATACCAGCAATGAATCTGACACCCACTGCTTATAAAGATTCTACGGCAAGTTGAATACATGCTTCCTACCTCTCTTGCACCAAAAATGCTGCCAAGGAACTAAAAAGACATTTTTCAAAAATAATAAAATAGATTCAGGAATGGAAAACAAAGAGTGACAATATCTAATAAAATTTTTGAGGAGTTCTGAAAGATAGAAAGTAACCAGGATTAAAACTCATAAAAGACTGGCGAAATCTAAAGCTCCAACATGCAGAATATTTACTGTAAAAATCAACAGGTAAATATGAGACTAACCTACATAGCTGAGCTCATGGCATCCTCCAAAACAAACTGCAGGAGCATCTGCACAGAGAAAACAGCTGAGACCAAGGGTATTCAGGCCAAAGGAGCAGAGCCAGGACCAAAGTAACCAATACTCAGACAAAGGATGACATCCTCCACCTCCTCAAACTTCAAGCCTTGCCTCTTACCTACAAGCACTAGAGATAATTTCTATGAAACAAAATAAGCTAAGCCCAGTTCTCAAATACAAAAATGAATATACAGCCAAAAATCACTAGTCATTTCAGGAAAATCAACACCTTGAAAGGGAAGCATAAAATTCAGTAGGCATATAAACTAAAACTAGAGAGTTGATTGCAAAAGGAAGAATAATTTTAAATAAAAACGACCAATGTTTTTGGAGAGATCTGAGAAAGAAAATATATTTCTTTAAAAAGAAACAATTTCAGATCTTAGGTATTAAATATTTAATGAGCAAAAACAAATATTTAATGGCATTGAGTAGAAAAAAGGACACAGTTGAGAAAGTAATAAACTCAAAGTTTGAACAGAATTCTCCCAGAAAACTTTTGAGAAAGTTTGCATCTAAAAAGAAAAATTGTCCAGCTAGCATAATATTGTCACATACAACAATGGCTGCAAAAAAAAAAAAAAGCGGGATTTTCAAAATGAAAAGTGAAAATTATATTGAATCACTAATACTACTCTCAAGATAGTTCCACAGGTGGGATGGAAGAGCTACAATTTTTCTACTCATAGAAAAATTATCTAGAAATAAAGTTCTATACTATGTTAACATAAGATGTAGTTGGAGAAATGAGAGAAGTACAGAAAGTAAGGAAGAGCAGGAAAAGAGAAAAGAATGTCGAGATTTACTGGATTGATCAGGACAAACTGCAGATATGATTAACTCCAAATGCATAAGCTTTATTGCATTTCTTAAAAGATAACTACAAGAATAACATAAGTAATATATACAAATCCCAAACAAACTGAGGGCATAGGATTGGGAGTAGAAGAAAAAATGCAATGAAAAGGGGGGAAGAGAGTAGCTTTGGGAGGTTAAAGAAACAGGCTACTCAATAATCCTGCTAAGTAAAAAGCCATAAATTAGGAAGTTAAGTTCACACATAGTAATGATTACAATAAATATAAATGGACAAACTTCCTCTATTAAAGTTCTCATATTGGAAAGGAAGAAAATCAGCAATATGCTATTCAGATGAGAAAATGAAAAAAGAATAAATATAAAGGAGTAAGGAAGAAATATAAGCCCACAGAAGGATTTTAACAAAATTATGCATTACATAAATATTGATGGCATTTGAGACAGAACTGACAAAACAATGAGTATATTCCATTAAAATAATATTGAATTGTACCAATCAACTAGTATGAGACACATAGCTTTGAAATTAAATAGTTTAGTGTGAAACAACTGCTGGTACCTATAAAAATAACTACTCAGTGTCAAACCCACAGTGATAATAGGAGACAAACATCAGATGTCAACAGAACAAGCAACAAATGATAAATAAAATATGCATAGGCTTGAATATTAGAATTTACATTTGAATCTAATACATATTGAGATAATATTTTCAAGCACATATTTAACATTCACAAGAAATGACCACAGATTAGGCCACAGAGAAAAGTCTCAATATTCAAAACTACAAAAACATTTCAAGTTACTTTTCTGAACACAATGCTGTAAGTTAGAGATTAAGAATAAAAAAATTAAATAATTTAGCCAAATGGATTAAAAGGAAAATCAAAATTGAAAATTCACTATAAAAATATGTGGCATTAATGAAGACATGACACTTGACGACCCACAGGATGCCCCCAAATCAATACATAAAAGAAATTCTAAGTGTACAAGCAATACTAGAAAAGTTGAAAGCAACATGATTTAGACATTCAACTTCAGCTAGAGAAGGAAAAGCTAAGGACAAAGCATGAAGGATTAAGAAAGACAATAGACCTGTCTTCTTCAAGAAACATGTTAAAAAACAAACCATGTGTTGAGTTGAAGTAAAACTTAATGGAAAATTACATTCAAAATCCCCTGACTAGTCCTGTGTGGGTTATGTTCTCATGCATTTTTCATCGCCGGGAAACAGCTTGCGAATGTCGCACTTTTACCATCACCCTCCTGAGCCCAGGTTTTAAATAGCAATTTTAAAACCTATGTTAAACTTCAGGATAAAATGATCTTCAATAGGGAAAATATTGTGTTCACAGTTCCACTCTAAATTATTTAAAATCAGAATGAGAAGTCTGTGTGTTTGCTTTTGTGATTCTTTAAGAATAAATCCAATCTAAGTTAAAGAAAAAAGCAGCAGTAGAAAATTACCTCTTTACTCCTATCAGGAGATAAACTGCTAATGTGTATTTAGAGCAAGTACAAGACATAGTCACACAGAATTAGGAAGAGAATAGGAAGCCAACATTTTCTCTTCCTGGTAAGACACATAATTTTCTCAAAATGATCTCTTTTACTCTTTGTAAACTGCTTTACATAATATAGTTGATATAATCATTTTAAGACACTGATCCATAACAAACTTACTACTTGAAGAAACTGAAATGGAGGAAATTAGAAAAACAAGAGAAGATGCT